CCTTCCTTCCTTCCTTCCTTCCTTCCTTCCTTCCTTCCTTCCTTCCTTTCTTTCTTTCTTTCTTTCTTTCTTTCTTTCTTTCTTTCAAGACAAGGTTTTTCTGTGTTGTTTTGGTGCCTGTCCTAGATCTTGCTCTGTGGACCAGGCTGACCTCGAACTCAGATCCGCCTGGCTCTTCTTCCTGAGTGCTGGGATTAAAGGTGTGTGCCACCACCGCCTGGCTTATGTATGTTTTTCACGTTGGACTTGAGGTTCTACATTCTGGCTTTTGTAAACATTGCTGCACGGATCAAGAGAGTGCAATATTCTTTCCCTGCAATTCTTTTGGCTACATTCTTGGGGTTCTTGGTAATTCATATGATAGTTGTTAAGGTTTCTGCAGACTCTCCATATGGTTTCCATAGCATCTGTAATAGGTCATATTTTCACTAGTATTTACCATTTCTGTCTTTTTTCTTGTTTTAGCTCTTCTCCAGTGCTGGGAATGGAACACAATCTCTCACATGCTAGGCAAGCACTCTAGTTAGCCACACCCCCAACTTCCATCTATTTTTCTCTTTTCCACCCTAAAAATTCTAAATGAAATGTGGTAATTGCTCATTGTGGATTTGATTTGTGTCTTTTTAATGAGTTAGAGGTTTTGAACTTAAAAAAAATCACTTGCTGTTTCTGTCTTGAGAAATGCCTAGCCTAGAATATTCTGCCCATTTGCATCTTGTACCTTCTGTTCCTACTACTGGACAGAACCACAGAGCATTAACCTCTTACCAGATGACTGGTTCACAGAGCCTTTCTCCCATCCTGTCGCTTGTTACTTCACTCTGTTGATTGTTTAATCTGCTTTACGAAAGCTTTTTAGTTGGATGTAATTATACTTTTCATGTCTTTTGGTTTTGTTGCCTGTACCTTGATGGTCATGTTCAAAAAGTTATTGCCCAGACAAACACGATGGAGCTTTAAGCTTATGTATCTCTCTACTATTTTGTATCGCTTTGGCCTTTACACTGAAGACTTTCATTTGCTTGTGTTTCTCCCGCCTGTGGTGAAGCTCATGGGTCATCTTCCCGTTCGTTCCTTGTTTTTCAGACAGGATGCCCGCCGGTACCCGGGCTGCTCAGGACTCCTAGATCATCTCTTTCGGCCTCTCTAGTTTTCTACTACAGACTTAAACCAGCACACCCTGGTCTACTTTCAGGATGTAGCTCTGTGTGGAGCTGGCTAGCCTTCTCAACGTTATTAAGTGGACTGTTCTGTTGCTGGAGAGCTTCTCTCCAGGTCCCACCAAGCCCCTGGGAAGTTAGTCACTGGACGAAGCTCTCTGAGGACAACTGGGGTAGTTACCAATCTGATTAGAGAAGATGGCCAGTACGGGCTACTTACCCACTATCGCCAGGAGTCTTAGCTGGGTCTCCTTGTAGATTTCTGGGACTTCCCCTTGCACCAGATTTGTCCCTGACCTCCAAATGCCCCTCCCCCACCCCCATAGGAGCTCACAGACTCTGGACTGTGAGGAGAGCTCACAGGCTAGGGAGCCTGCATGGGATGGACCTAGGCCCTCTGCATGTGTGTGACAGTTGTGTAGCTTGACCTGCTTGTGGGACTGCTAGTGATGGGAGCAGGGCCTGTCCCTAACTAATGCTTTGGCTGACTTCCAGGAACCTACTCCTCATACTGGGTTGTCTTGCCCAGCCTTCATACAAGGGGAGGAGCTTAGTCCTACCTCAACCTGTTATAACAACCAGGCTTTGTTGATACCGATGAGAGGCCTGCCTCTTTCTGAACAGAAACAGAGGAGGAGTGGGGTGGGGTGGGGGTGGGGGGAGGGAGTAGGAGGAGAGGAGGGAGGAGAAACTGTGGTAGAGATGTAAAATAAATGAATAAATTTAATTAATATAAAAAAAGAATTTCTTACTTGACTTTTTTTTCCCCCAACTTTACTATTAACAGAAACCCTTCTGATTTGGGTTGATTTCTAGTTTTACAGAAATTGTTTATTAACTAGTTTAAACAGTTGTTTGATGGACTCTTTCCAGTTTCTTAAAATATAAGATGCATCTGCAAAAAAAGACTATTTAATTTATTCCTTTTCTAATTTTTATGCCTTTATTTTTACTCTTGCTAAATTTCTCTGTCCAGAACTTCTAGTGTGTGTTGCTAAACGCGATCAAAGAGGGCATTCCTGTCTTGTTCTAGGTCTTAGGGAGAAAGATGGTGGATGGAAACTTGATTTGTCATTATGATGAGAGGTTTAATTTTGTCATTTTTCCTGCCTCTCCTGAAATGAGCATCTGACATTTGTCATGTTGAGATGAAGGGTTGTTTCTATTTATTTGCATATATTGAAGCATCCTTCCCTACTTGGCAAGGATTTTACTCAGTCATGGGAATGATCTTTATAAAGTGCCACTGAATTTAGTTTGGTAATACTTTTGGCCTGTCTTCACCAGGAGTTTTATAGTCTCTTTTTACAGTATCCTTGCTTGGTTTTGATCTCCACAAACAAACAAGCAAAGAAACAACCAGAACAAAATCACAAAAGATTAATGAAACAGTTCAGTTTTTTAAAAGATAAACAAAATTGCCAGCTCTTTAGGCGGCTTAAATATGAAGTCATAGGCGAGAAAAAAAAATCTTATGAACATTATCTGAACAATGTCTGCATCAATTAGTAATTCTCTGTTGGGACCTCATCCAATTCATGTGGGGAAAGTTGAGCAAATTTTGACAATTTAAAACAAATCTAGGAACAAAGTACTGCACGTGAAATGAAAGCTTATTAAGGGATTCAAGTAATCCTGAAAGTGCGGCTTATTACCCTCTTCTTCTGGGTCCATGACTAAGGAAGCTCCAGCTCACAGTTTGTGTGGACCAGGCCGTTTTCCTCTCCACCGTGTCCGTGGGGCCCACTTAAGGGTATGGTGTCAGTAGAAATGACACATAGTGTTTACCACATGATTTATTCTGTTAAAATACCATAATCTGTTTAGTGGTACTTGATGGATTAAAAATTATAACAAACATTGAAAACCTATCTATATTTATGCAAACAGAAAAAAAATCCAAGTCTTCAGAAACCTTATCTGGCACTATTAATATTGTCTCTACAGAAGATTCTTCCCCTTCCTCCTCCCACTCCCCAATTTAAATCAACTAATTAAGAAAGGCTATAACTAGGAAGGAATGATTAACTCATTAACTTAATCATTGTCATACTTGTGGATATGGACTTGTACCAGAGTTAAGAGGTTAATGAATTCAAATATATTGTCAAAGCTGGCTATGAATTCAAAGAGGAGGATGTTACGTTCTACACAGTTTCTACGCTAGAGAAGCAGGGTTCAGCTGTGCTAAAGCTTGAACTCACAATAATGTGCTTAAATTATATGATGGATGGTAAGTAGCAGATAAATAAGGATTCTTCTTTATCACTATTGCCACTGGTTCCTTCAAAGCCTCTGCCACCAACATCACCATAGTCACACGCTCAAAAATTTATTGCAAGTGGGGGTGTTGGCTTGCTTGGGCACAGGCTGCTCACATGTAGAGATTTTTTTTTCTGGAATTGCTTCTGGATATTTTCCTTTCTACAAATGTTTTACAGCCATTGATGTGTTTGCTATACATTAAAACCCTCTAAAGAACTATCTCTAGCATTGCGCCCTCGGAACTTATCACGTGCCTTTTCAGCCACCTTATAGAACAGGTGTCATGCAATTGCATAGGTTCCATGTGTTAGTGGAAAAGTCATGACTCCCGTATCAGCAGTATTAAAATCTGGGCGGGGAAAGTCAATAGAGAATGAAACCAAACACCTAAAGCAACAGCACATTCAACTGTCTTGACAAGGACAAGAGCTTGACAATCTAAAGAACCTGAAAGTAGGTATTTCCCTGTGTGTGTGTGTGTGTGTGTGTGTGTGTGTGTGTGTGTGTGATAGATGAGAGATAGATAGAGGTAGAGATAGATACATAGATAGGTAGATAGGTGATAGATAGATGACAGATAGATAGATAGATAGATAGATAGATAGATAGATAGATAGATAGAAGATAGAGATTTTGACCACAGAGGAAAAGAAAAGCCTGTATAGAGGTTTTACAGGCCTTGAGAATCAGTTTCATTTCAAGACAATAAAAGACAGTAAGGAACCACGGACGTGTTTTAGGGAGAAGGTATGAACTAATTAGGACTTTTGTTTGAATAATGTCATTGTTATCTGGAAGAAGCGCTGGTATGGAGAATGTAATGGAACCACAGCGACACCAGCCTAGTAGACAGTGTGTGGTGCCTAGAATAGAAAGTGAACACAGAGAAGACAAGGGTTCAGGACAGAATTTGGAGATAGAATTGATAGACAGATGCCTACCAAGCAATGGGGAGTTGTTATGGATTTGAAAAAAGTCTTATTTGTCAGTAAATGCCACTATACTAACTCTACACAAGGTTATTTGACAGTTGAGTAGAATATTTTGAGGAGAGATACCTCTGCATGCCGTGACTCCAGGGGGACCATTATAAATTTTCGTATGTATGGTGTACCCTGGAGTCATGTAATAGTGCTCCTGTGGATGCAGAATATTAAATGCGCTTTGTTGCTTAGAATTATGCAATGGGATGCTGTGTTGAGTGTTGCTGTGCATAGTTTGTTTGCATGGGAAGCTCTGGACTAGAAAGTGTACTGGGACGTGCAAGTCTATCAGTCCCTAGGAAGGAGATACCTTTTGCTAGTTACTCCCCCCCGCCCCCGACCAGGACACTTCAAGGATCACTCTTTGCTACAGTGAAATTATTGTCCAGTGGTTTGCTATTACACAATTCCTATGCCTGAATTTCTACGTCTGATCGTCTCATTGTACGTTGGCAATAACCTTGTTTCCATTAGTGAGCTATAGATCAGGAGAATGGGTTGAAAGAGAGTCACAGTATATTCAGGGCAGTGTAAAAAGGGTAGTATGAGAAATCTCAAGATGGATTAGACCTCTTAATATCATATGCAATTATGAGTAGGTACAGTAGTGAGTACAGATGAGGAAAAGAGAAAGGTTCACACAGAAACACATGTGATCAGCATCCAGGCCTGTTGCTGATGAAGGGCTGTGTTGTTAAAAAACGACATTATGTTGCTGGAGAGCTTCTCTCCAGGTTCCCCAAGCCCCGCAGTCCCACAATCCACTTATAAAATAATCACTCAGACGCTTGTATCACTTATAAACTGTATGGCCGTGGCAGGCTTCTTGTTAACTGTTCTTATATCTTAAATTAACCCATTTTTATAAATCTATAGCTTGCCATGTGGCTGGTGGCTTACCGGCTTCTTTA